TCTGAAAATGAGCTTTACGAAGTTAAGCTGAGCTAAAAAGTTAGCTACTTTACTGGTTTTCTTAAAAGATACCGTTTTAACTCACTGATTGTCGTATAGTGTTAACATTCAGATTATGTACGGTAGCTTTGCTGTATAAAAGATCTTTTTAGCAGACGTTTTAAAGACGTTTTCAACTCTTTGCTGGAGTGTTTAAAACAATACGTGTAAACATATACATGTAACACACGAGGGTCAAAGATTAAAATTTGGTGTTCCAGGTAAATTGATGTTTCAAGGCTTTCTTGATGTTATGTCAATTGTTAGTGTAGACTATTTTCCAAGTTTAGTTGGCAATCTGGTTTATTGCATTTAAGAAGAAATTCGAGAAAAAACCCTCCCAGTATGTAGTTGCTGTCCCTCCCTTGAATATATGTGAGCTTCAAGTAAAGAGAAAACAAAGATAATTAACAGCACGTTTAATAAAGATCTTTTTATCATTACACTCTCCTAATGACTTCAATCTAAATAAAATGAAAAGGCACGCCGGGAGATGAGTTGATATTCCAGCAATGATTTGTGCGTAATAACCCATAGTAAATTTTAGATAAATAACCCATATAAACGGCTCCATTATTTGCTTGAAAATGGCCTTGACTGAATAAAGATTTCAAATGATAACTTACCCAACTGAATACTTCTGAACCCCCTAGGATGTATGGTGATTGCTGATTTGAAACCCTGTTCTGAATTCTGTTAACTTGTATACACCGAGGCGCTAGCGCTAAGCGTGGCCTTTTCCTGAAGCGCGCCCTCACGAGATGGCCGTGAAAACTCGGCACTGCTGCAACATGGCCGCCCCCAAATTTCACCAAGAAATTTGCTAACTGTTAAGGCAATGGCAAAAACGTAACACTTCAGTTGAAACGATAAAAAGTTGAAGAACGCAGTTGCGATGAGAACACATTTGTTGTTTTTTTANGTTTCCTGAAATTTTGTGAGATGAAATTAAAAAAAAAATAGCAACCCTATATTCTGCAGTAGATGCCGGGAAAGATCAGGAAATTACTGAAGTCCGATCAGAATCGAAACTAAAGGAAATCCTGGCTGCTCGATTACCAGGACATGATATAAAAATAGTAATATTAGATGAACCCGTGTCCTCTAATGCCGTATGTCATAGCATGGATTAAAGGAAATTAGGAGAAAAAAATGTGATTAGAGATCAACAGTGAGAGTAATATTTCATATCACTGTACATTCAAGCAGTCACTTATCGGTCCCAGTTAAACTATCTGGCGTCTTTAAGTATTCTGATTATTCTTGACCAAACATTGGCGGCCTCTAACATGACTACCGAATAGTAAAACTGGATATCAAACTGTATAATGTGGAGCCTTATTCAATTGCAAAACCTATCCCCAAAGACTTTTGTCCAAAATAACACTGAAATGTTATAAGTAGGCCTAACATTCAAAAACGGATAATTTGAAACTAATGACCAAGTTCTATTAAATATTGTGATGAATTTGAACATAGTCCAACTTATCCGTTGTGCAGTGCTTGCGTGGCCTTCTTAGAAGCCATGAAAAAAGAGGGGTAGACTATTTTTCAAGTTTAATTTGCAATCTGGTTTATTGCATGCTCAGTAAGAACTTGGTACACTGACTTGATTACTTGGACATGCATTTATGAAGAAATTCAAGAAAAAACCCTCCCGGTATGTAGTTGCTGTCCCTCCCTTGAATATATGTGAGCCAACTGAATACTTCTGAACCCCCTAGAATGTATGATGATTGTTGATTTGAAACCCTGTTCCGAATTCCGTTAAATTGTATAAACCAAGGCGCTAAGTGAGGCCTTTTGACGAAGCATGCCCTCACGTGACGGCCGTGAAATTGTGGCACTGCTGCAACATGGCCGCCCCAAATTTCACCAAGAAATTTGCTAACTGTTAAGGCAATTGCAAAAACGTAACACTTCAGTTTAAACGATAAAAAGTTGAAGAACGCAGTTGCAATGAGAACAGTTTTTTTCTTTTTAATTATTACTCATGCAAGCAGTTCCTTGTGCCACAGAGTCTAAAGGGAATGAGAGTTTGGGTTAGTAACAGATTGGCCAAACCAGGAGTATCACCCTCATCATACTTTGCCAGTCGCACAAGCCGGGCCACTGGGCGTTTGTACTCTCGATCGTTGACTCGAACACTGACTACCCTCACTCTCTGGTCATCACCAGGAAATACTTGTGTAAGCGTCCCCACTGACCACCGAGACCTTGGGAGCTGGGGCTCTGCTATCATCACAACAGCTCCCTCCGACAGGTTTTCCTCTTCCCTTTGCCATTTCTGGCGGGTTTGCAGGTTAGGAAGATAGGACCTAACAAAGTGACGCCAAAACTGGTCGGCTAGTACCTGACTGTGCCGCCAATTCCTGGGGCCCTTCAGCTCTCTCTCTTGTCATAGACCACCATTGGAAGTGCTGGATCCCGTCGCCCCATAAGGAGCATGTTTGGAGTTACTGGATCCACGTCAGCAATATCAGAGGAGGCGTATCCCAGAGGTTTTGAATTGAGGATACCCTCAACCTCCACTAGCACTGTGCGAAGAACTGCGTCAGTTACGGTCCTGTCTCCAAGTACTGCCTTTAAAGCTCCTTTGGCTGATCTGACTTCCCGCTCCCAAGTACCCCCAAAATGGGGCACATTGAGGGGGTCAAATTTGAATTTGACCTTGTACTTGGCAAGTCGCTGCACGATATCCAGCTCCATTGCCTTTAAAGTCCGCTCGATTTTTGTCCTGGCCCCCTTGAAATTTGTTCCACAGTCACTAAGAAGTTCAAAGGGAACTCATCTGAAAGAGGCGAAGCGCCTGTAGGCCATCAAGAAGTGATCGGCATCCAGACTCTCTAGAATATCGAGATGCACCGCTCGGGTAGTCATGCATTTGAAGAGTAGCCCCCATCGTTTTTCCTGTCGCCGCCCAATTTTAACTGTCAGGGGTCCAAAACATTCTACTCATGTAGAGTAGAAGGGTGGTTTTTCCAGCCGCAGCTTGCACTCTGGAAGATCTCCCATGCGGGGCACCCTGGGCGTCCCTCGCCAGCGACGGCATTCTGGGCAAGCATGCAAGACTCCCTTGACCATACCGCAAGATCTAAAACCGGTGCCGCAAACTTGATCAGTACCAGCCTGATGACAAAAATAGGCATCAGCATCCTTTATCAAGATTTTTGTGACAGGATGGTGTGGGTCAAGAACAACTGGATGGGGCTCAACCAAAGCAGTGTCTGTTGAGGAAGCCTTCCAACTCTAATCAGCTTGTTAACCGGGTCCAGCTCCGGTGCCAACTCAAGAAGACGACTATTTTGAGACAGCTCCCTATTGGACGAAAGAGCACTGACTTCCTTTAAAGGTCTTGCTCTGTGCCTTCCAAAGCAACAAAATCTCCACCTCATGGGTTTGTTCTGGAGTTAGAGTACCATCCAGCAACTGATCATCTGGGTACAGCTGCCTTCCAACTGCACTGACCAATTCTGTCCAACTTGAAAAGGCTGTAAAGTCAACATCAACCTCTGAGGTAGGCACTGTGAGACCACAGAAGACACTCTTGCTTTCATTTTGTTCAACTATAGAGTTGGCACGAGTTTGTGCCAAGATACATGCACTGTCCTTCTGCCACTCCTCTTGAGGGTCATGAAGCCACCCTAGGCCATTAGCNGGACGGCATTCTGGGCAAGCACACAAGATTCCCTTTACCATACTGCGCCCCCGCAAGATCCAAAACCGGCGCCGCAAATGGGCGAACACTTGATCAGTAACAGCCTGATGACTAAAATAGGCATCAGCATCCTTTATCAGGAGTTTTGTGACAGGATGGTGTGGGTCAAGAACAACTGGCTAGGGCTCAACCAAAGCAGTGTCTGTTGAGGAAGCCTTCCTTAGGCGACCTCCAACTCTAATCAGCTTGTTAACTGGGTCAAGCTCCGGTGCCAACTCAAGAAGACGACTATTTCGAGACAGCTCCCTATTGGACAAAAGAGCACCGACTTCCTCCTTAAAAACCTTTTCCTGAAGCGCGCCCTCACGAGATGGCCGTGAGAACTCGGCACTGCTGCAACAGTTAGTGACGGAGTTACTTATTCTTGACTTGCATGTATGAATATATGATCAGGAACAGCTAACTGATTTTTAATTACTGCTTCATCACTGCTCAAGGTTGGATTAGTTTCACAAATGTTTGTCGTAGTTTAAATGAGTTTGAAAGACGTATACTGATTGTCTTTACTGTTCATCGTTTATTTCAGACCACCAGCTGAACTGTATAATCGAGATGAATTGCACTGATGTTGAAACCCATTTAATCTGAACTGTTGTAGTTGTATCCGGTCACAGTGGTAAATTCAGCTTAATTCTAAATGTATATTTAAGGACATGTTTCTGACAGTGCCCGTCATTTTGAAGTTTCAATTAATTGCATTTGAATCAGATGTCTTTACCGAACACGTTATATTTGTTAAAACGGTTTATTGATTACACATGTAGTATAAACCATCGGACCAAAATTGCATGTACACTCAAAATTGCATTTCTCTTCTTTTTTTTCAGAATTGAATTATTTTTACCATAAAAATCTTCATACATTGAAATATCCTGCGTGGCGTTCTCATTCAATTTTTTACATGGTTGCTGGAGCTGCTCGTTTGGTGAGTCCGTATCATTTCTCAGGGTTGCAGAGCCCTGAGTCACTCCTAAAGGTATATAAATGCTTCAGTGGTTGTCCCCTAGCCTCTACAGCTCTTAAAAACCACCAAAAATACATCACAGTACGGTGGGGGGCCTTTTTCCCAGGCTATCCCGATTTGAGGGGGGGGGCTCGCCACGCGCCAGCCAAGCTGCACCATCACCACAACACCCCCCAAACAAAATAACACTTCAAAGTCAGCCGAAAAAGGCCTCTGACAAGTTCCAGACAGCTGTCACTGATACGAAACATTCCACTGCCTGGCTCTGGCACTGTTTTGTAAATAATCTATTAGATTGTACACAAGGGGCCACTTAGCACACAGTCCTATGGGAGTTGGCTGGAGGCTAGCGTGATACACGTGTTTTATCTTTTGTATTGAAGAATAGTGCTTCCTCGCCAAAACTTCTCCCGCGGGGTACGGTGTTTTTTTGGTATTTTTTTGCAAATTTGGGTATAGGTTGAGCGTAGTAGACTCCTTCCCTACAAATGTGTGGTTCGGGTCTGCTAGAGATTGCGTACCCAAGTGACCTGTTGCCCTCTTGCCTTCCCCACTTTTGGTCCAACGCCAAAGCGCTTCCTTATAAGAAGAATAAATTTGGCAGGCACGCCGCAGTGTAGTGTGGTACACATAGATGAGGGTGCACTAGCAGTTGATCGAGATCAAAGTTAAGTGCATAATGGTACTAGGGAAACATGCAAACTGTGGGTCATTTGGGTGGGTGTTCAGTAGTAGACCCGACCCACACACTTGTAAAGAACGAATGTTGTGCATCATCTTATCATTGCTCTTTCAAAACGAAAACACAAATTAGGTCAACAAGGGTGACAAAACATAATTTGGTTCCAATATTTACAACATGTACGTATAACACTGCCAATGTAAGCCCATTTTTGCCCCAATTCTGCATCTGGCTGCATCTTGTGAAAGTCAAATAAATCCACCAGTGAAAGGAACACAGAAAGTGAACTCTGTACAAAACCCACTATTTGGCCCAACGTGTCAATTTTAAATATACGAACCCAAATGACAGTGCAATGAGTTGGTGTGTTCATTGTTATCAGTATCAGGCAGTGAGGTGGGACGCAATCCATTGAGCCCATGATAGGAAAGCACACATGTAAACAAAGAGTGACGTCATTCTGTTTGAGATCTATTCAAAAACAATGTGTTCTGATTAAGCTTTGGAAATTGGAAATTAAACGAACCTTTTGGTTTGTAAATGACCCCACGTACAACATCATGGCCTCTCAGCTTGATACGCTCCACATCAGCTTCTCGCATGTACCACTTGTGCACCACAGCTACATGGAGTGGCTCATTTGTGGCTAACTGACCTTCGCCAAGGTGGCCTTGATGCAGGGAAAGAAGTACCACCACTGGTTTGTGGGGGTACTTTTTCGCAAAACGGATACCTGGTCGTTGACCCGGACAGGGTTGTAGACTCCAGAATAGACCCATGGGTTCAGTACCTGCGTGTTGAAGGGACAACGATCATCTGCAAGTATAGTGGATTACTCCTCAGTGTGTTACCAAACCGGTTGGTCAAATCAAATAATAAACTGGTGGATTGATGGATGATCAATAAACTGTTGGATGATCGATTGATTAATCAGTCAGTTCAGTGGGTTTGGAGCCACTTCAGTGGTCAGCATCGTTCATTCCTAAGCAGGCTGCTCCGGGAACAATGATAAAATCATAATAAATTAAAAGTCGTACTGCGGAGTCTCTATAACAATGACCGAACATTTATGGAATTCGCGGGATACAAGGCACTTGCGAACGACATTTATTTTTTAAGCTGTCTTCGCCAGGTAAAAACGTGACAAAAAACCGGTTGAAAAAAGTCGGTATTGTATGAGGACTTTTATACCCTGGACGTCAGTCGCAGTGTAAATAAAGACAACGTCCAACCTGGGCTAACACAACCCCAACATAATAAAAGTCGAACTTTCCAATAGCATTTCTAACGTCATTTAAAAGAAAATCACTATATACGTGCAAAAGTGGTGCGCTGGACGGTTATGGGCGCTGCTCAATTTTGCATTCGAGTTTTCGAAGCTATCTTTCAGTTTCATGGATATCAGGGATGTGGCACACAGGGCACATAGGCCCTAGTCTGCCATAACTATAAGTGCCAACCCATTCTACAATAGCATGGCGTAGCGTCATCTTGCCATCACGCCTGTGGACAGCTGCAGCCATTCTCCGATGTAGTTTTCTTCTGCTGGAAAATATGGTGGGTAAAAAAGATTTCATTGGAAACAGAACGTTGAACATAACCAGACCCTATCTCGAAAACTCCCGCAAGTAAGAAGGCAATTTTTCTTTCCATCGCCGGCGTCATTATCCGGAAGCAAAGTGCATTTTTTATTACCGGATACGAATTGTCCCGGGTACGAGATGTCCCGATACCCTACCTGCCCCCCCCCATGTTGTCGATAAGTTAACGTAGATCTTAGACTGCTGTTGGAGTGGATGTGCCAGTGGAATAGGAATATGCAGGGAAAATCTCCGTCTCGTAATCCAGTTTTAGAGATTTAAGCAGCAATTTTACCTGCCTAAAGCAAAGCCTTTTATTAGTCAATATCTGGTGGTTACCATTGTGTTTTTCATTGCATTTGGTTTATCGGATGTGGTTCTTTTGAGCCAGATTGCCTAGTAGAAGCAGATAATACTTGCCCCCACCAGTCTCCTCAAATAGGAATGAGTTGAAGGAAAACAATGTGATGAAATTAACTTCAGGTGTGGTTTCTTGCCAGCTGACCCGTCAGTCGTAAGCGGAGAAGTTTGAACAGTTTGGCTAAGCTGTCTACCAGTTCCAGCAGTAGGCCTACCAGATCTGTTACTCCAAGTGATGACACATCTGACGTCCGTGAAAACTATGATGTGATTGCAATGCAAATCACTAATGAGGGTGGCAGCAGGAAATGGGACATTCTGCTTTTACTGCGACGTACCATAGGCCAAGCTCCCCCGTCATCTCCAGTCATGTCACACGGAAGAAAGAGAAATTTGTCGCGATCGCTTCCAAGACCAACGCTAGTATGCGTAAGAAACGTCTGTTGAAAATCCGCAATACGGCTAATAACAGGCACGATTGCAAAATTCTTCGTGAAGGTTGTGGTGTGCCCATTGTTGGTTATAGGCCAAATCGCGAGATATCTCCCCATGCACATTAACCACGCACACATTGTTACGGCTATTATGCCTACCGATTTGTGGTAACACGTGTGCCTTTTGAAGCCAGCGCCTCATCACAGACTGCCAGCACCGGTAAGAGGACTCGTGTGGATGGACAGATTGCTCACAAGAATGATTTGTTAAAACCTCCCCCGATGGTGTGTCGTTCCAGTTGCACCGTGTTCTTAGTCTAATGAAGAGAAATGATGTAGCTCTGGTAGTCAAGAATGACACATTGATTGTTGAATTAGCCGAGCGTGAATACTTGAAACTTGGGACCGATATAGATCAGCATGGATACATCCGTAACAGGATACGTGAATTAGGTCGACTCGTCATACTCAGAAAAATACCTATCAACCAAATGCATCGCTTGAACCATTTGTGCATCCACACCACCTTTCTGATATCGTCAAGGCCGTGCACGATATTGCTGGCTTCAGGGAAGACAAACAGTTGTTCCGTCACTAGCACTGAAGCTGGTTTTTCCGTCAAAAAGTGTGCACTCGTTCCGGCAAAAAAAAACCCAAAAACAAAGCGGACCGAGCGGCAGAGTTTTTGCAGTTGTGTGACTTGAACTGATGAGACCGTGTGTCCACACACCCACACACAGCACTGTACCAAGAAAAACGAAATTCTCCCGACATATGCTCATATAGTCCAAATGTCGTCGTTCCTTCATGAAGCTGGCAACCGGGAATTTCAACTCCTTTAGTGTGTTCGGGGAAAACAATCAGATCGGCTTAGCAGAAATTGAATGAAGCCACTCAGTGTCATCTCATCATGTTCAACTGAAGAAGGCAGGGGGAGGTTTCCAATATGAAACTTGAAGATTTCTACAAGCACAGCACATTAAAACTGTAGGAGAATGCCTCTTGAGTGATTTAGAACGCCACCTGTGCAAGATGCTCCGTGTTGTCGAAATAGTTGGCAAGAGAGGCAAAACTGTTCCTTT